TTGAGCTATAGTTATTGAACTGTGCACACCAATCAAGCCAATCGTATTTCCACAATTGAATATGGGCAGTGGCATGGGGCTGGTTCTGACTACAGAAATCTGTGAGAGTAGTATCAAAGGATAGAAATGGCTTACACAGCATCAATTAACATAGACATATCAAGGACCACCCATTCCCTTCCATGGACATTCCACAAAAAAAAATTTCCAGAGAGTTGCAGACGGCTAGAATCATGAAAGAAAACTTGTCTGTGGCCATACTGGATCCAACCGCCGCTATAAAGCATGATGGGCATTGTGCCTTTGACAGTGGAGGTTTCAAATATGTGAGATATTCGAGCAGAATTGTAGTTGAGAATCATGCGATATACTTGCAGCGTACGAATAGAGGCATTCCAGATCACCTTTTGTGATGTTCCACAAGTCGATTTTATCGTGATACCTTCTGTGTACATGTCGGAAAGCCTCATATGCGATATAATCGAGTAACTTTCTAGGGTTATAAGCTCGCTACTATCCGGGGAAAACATCACATTGATATACTCCCCTGGTAAAGTGCACTCTTGGCTATCCTCCAACAAGTCTTTAATGATGAGTAATCCATCGTAGATTATTGCCAGTGTATTGTTATTCGGAGAAATGATGAGCTTGATACAGTGATCAAGCCAAGTCCCCTTGGGGTTGCGGAATGAATGCATTGAATAGCTGACCATTGAGCTTATTGAAAGGCAGCTGATCGGATTAACTGAGGTATCCTTCGAGTATGCGTCAATCCTACCAGTACTATCAACCGTAAGAAAGCAAGTGGAGGGCAATGGTGAATGAAAAAAAAGCAACGAAAGCGAGATCCATGACCTTAAATTGTGTGATTGAATGATGTTCGAGGTTCAGTAGCACCAGCTCTTGTGGTCTCTGAACGATTAGTGAAAGTGAATGGTCAGCAAATATCATTTTCACATCCCAAATGGATTCCACATCTTGTGACATGAAAAGAGTCCCTGAATTGCAGTCCCATATTTGGATAGTCCCTTCTATCAAAGTTGCCAGGTGATTCCCATTGGGGGAGAGAAGGTATTTAACGACAGGGCTGGGCTGCTGAGAAGTCTGGGAACTTTGAAAAAACAAATTCTTTATTTGCTCCAGAAGTCCTGCTGGTTCTGGGAGGGAAATGGGTGCCAAATGGATACGATGGAGATGTATTACCGAGTCAGTGATCCACATAAGTGTTTGATGACGCCATGATAGATACATGGGGTTGCATCCATTTGGCAAGTCGGCCTCTATTTCATTAGACAACTTGTCCAGCTCTAATACACCCCCCCCACAGAGTGGATTCCATGCTACAACGAGCCTTTCGCCTATTAATATCAATTCTTGCTCATTTTCGGGGCGGACAAATGCAGACTGCAGCCCTGGTTGTTCATATGGACCACCACAGATGGAGCCATTGTCTACATTGAAAATAAACACAGAATTTGTGTATTCATGCTGAAGTAGTAACTTTTCGTCGTTTGAGAAGAGCCTAAGGTTTGGCGTCGATTGCACTTGTAGTCTAGGCGCGATGGGCCATTCCACTTGATACTCCAGAAGACTGTGCCATGCCACTGCCCATATTCAATTGTGGAAATACGATTGGCTTGATTGGTGTGCACAGTTCAATAACTATAGCTCAAAGATCCCAAAGCTATCTGAGCCCCAACAAATCATGGAACATCTTGACCTTCTGTATCATTTTGAGCATCGGCTCAACGAATTGAAGCAATCTGGTTGGCCAGAGGAAGCACTGGCCATGCTCAATGATGATGAACAGGATAGTGAGCTGAGAAGACAATTGGACAAAATTCGGGCAGATAACGTGATTACACAAAAGCTTGAAGAACTTTGGAGTGATGAAGGGTCGACAGAAATTCACGAGCTTCAACATATGACAACCAAACTTCTCTGGAACTCCATTGACAAAGGATTACATAAACAGCTCAACAATGAGCAACTAGACTTCTGCGCTTTCATATGCTCGTGTTTTATTCGAGATATTAATTCTGATAAGCAAGAGGATTGGAAATTGCTGTCCCAAAGGGTCAAGCAATTTCAAAAAGAGTGCTCAGGAATTTCGCCTAATTAGTCAGGCTCTCAGTATATAATCAACAGGCAGATAGTTTCACTTATTATGTACCTCCTTTGGACCATATAGAAGCACTAATCGTGAGGACATATCACCACAGGCTTGCACCCTTTGTCTACCCCTAAAATTGAGGCCACACGGCCTAGTCAGCATTGTAAGTCCAAACTCATGCTCATTCTAGTCCCAAAGGTTCCACAATTATTCATGCCCTGGTAACCTTGGCTAAAATGTGAATTTCGAGTAGTAGGTCACCATGCATTCCTGACCTTTTTCATATTACTAACAAGCACTCAAGTGTTACCCTCTGGCTTCTCTCTTAGAGACTCCTTCAAATGAGTTATAAACATCTCTGAATTATATAATTGGTCCTTGCCTGTGTTGCACTCTGCCTCACCTCAAAAATTGATATAAAGCTGAAACCCTTTCCATCATAAAGGAATGTGTTTGACTATATTTGTTGTGCTTGGGACTTGACGATCGCATCATGAGGGAAAGATCTAAACTGCAAATGGGATCCGTCGATCTGGCCCAGACAAGGAGGAAGTGGTTATAGCTAACAATTGCATCGTCAAAATGTAGTAATCGACCTCAAGTTTCAAAGAAAACAAAATGATATCAAGTACAAAAGATAGGAACCGACAAAACATATAGTATTCGTGATTTTTCTTTATTTCTGTTCGTATCGCTCTCTTGCCTGCCATACATGCGGAACTGTCAGTCATACCGAACCATCACCATACTAGTCTCCCAAGAAATTTTTATCAAAATGTTACACTCACCGACTCTTTAGCTAGTCCAGCGTAGTCCAATCCAGCCACTTTGGTAATATCCTTGCCTTTGTTCGATCCTAGCCCAGCCCCAGATGCGTACATTGCCGTTTGACTAGAGGAATTTGGTGTGAGTAAAAGTTTGATGAATGATCTCTTATCCCGTGAAAGCGTGGTTGGCATCTAGAGCCCTACTTACATCGGGTCCACTCTTCCTTCACCACTCAACCCAAGCCCAGTCCCCTCTGACCATCCCATCTTTTTCAACAGCTTGTTCCCAATGTTGTTCTCATCCTTTGCGGGTTCCTTTGCAGCCTCTTCTACTACAGGCGCACTAATAGCCACGTCGCATATGAGGCTTTCCGACATGTACACAGAAGGTATCACGATAAAATCGACTTGTGGAACATCACAAAAGGTGAT